ACAAATTTCTGCGGGCACCTATATTATTATAACATATTATATACTGACATGCGAACGTAACTACGTCTATACATTATAATAATATGAGAATTGTTTTGCGTGAAATGTTATGCTAATAATCTATATCTGCCCACACTTTAAACTCTAATATAATAAGGTACCAGTTTTAAATCTATGACATTTTGTTGTTGTTGTAAAATATAATTATTTATAAAAAGAATAAATATTTTGAGCACGCGAWGAACGTTATATTTGTACAATATGTAGATGTAAAAGGAATATGGTTTTGGTTATACGATGGTATGTGGTATACCTATTATATTATCCTGAAACTTAAAGTTCCATAGCCATTGCAGGAGTATAAGCGAACACGACCCCTAGCTATTATCAAGTTAATGTTTTATAAATAGGTACTTAAGAGGACGCATGCATTTGTTGTCTCTATATTATACACATTCAATATGTCGTTTATACGGAATAGCAAACTTTAGTTCACTAATTTCAATATTGTGCTGTTAGTTTTGATATTAGAGTGAATAATTGACCTATCATCATGCTTTTAGGTAARAACATAATTATGTGTGTGTTTAAACGTCGACTTCTATTAGATATTTTAATTTCTAGCAAAATATGAGTGGTTTTTAATTTGTGACATTTACATAGGTATAGGTACCTGCAATATCTTGTTTGAAAATTAAAATACGTATTGATATAATCTATAATAGCTATACTATATAGTCTTTAAGTACATAATAAAGCAGATGAAAGGAGTCAATGAAAATGTTCAATGGGAAATGGGATCCATTAATTATCATTTTGAATAATAGATTTAAAAAAAAGTATGTGGTTATACTGGTTGAGGTTTATAGTGAAAAAAATACTTAATACCAATTTTAACAAAAAAAAAAAATTCAGAATATATTTCAGTTGAAGCGAAACGAAAACAATTTACAATTAGATTTAATTATAATCAATCGATATTTTAGACGGCTATAATAATACAGATTTTATTATTCGGGTTTTGTCTAAATGATGCATATTATATTTTTACTTGTAAATTCRCAGTTTTTGTGCACCAAAGTTCATATAAATATTATTCGGGGTCCAGAAACGGCCGTAAGAGAATTAGAGCACAATCCACGGGCAACAATTAATATGTATTATATATAAAATGCTAAATGTATATATAGATRAGGTTCATGTTATAGACAAAAAGTACTCGACTGATTTTGAAGATTCCAGGGAGACAAGATTTTTTACTTTAGACAATAGGTTAAATCAGTTTTTTAGGGTGACTTAGCCGCTGTTAATATTATTGAAACATTCGTTTATTTTTGCTTGTGATTGGTTCGCTTAAAAAAAATTTGGGTATCCATATATATGTAGGTGGATATTGCAAGCAGCTATATATCCTGGTTTAATTTATCCCGGGCTATGGCAGATCTAAGATTTTTTATGGTGGATGATATTTTGATGATAATACGCTCATTATGTATACTTAGGTATTATATATGAGCAACTTCGGGGGTAAAATCAAATTGAACTATTGTTCTGTTGTAGGAGCAGTCTAGTATCTACGATTAATAGATTTGGTAATAATACGTATAATAATCGTTATCACTACAACGGCGCAGGGTGCTTCTATAGACCAAAGAACCCCTCTCACTAAATCCATCTATGTTTTCGGGAAACATCGGGTAATACTTCTAGCAACTGCATATTGTTGTTTATTTTTTAATTTAAAATAAAATAATATATTTATGACTTTACATTTGATGCCACCAGCATAAAATATGTAATTGGTTTGGTATGTATATTTACATATACATATCATAGGTACTATAGGTATAGGTAATATAGTATAGGTATAGGTATAGGTATGGTATATCTACCAAAATATAACAAACAATTTACATTTTTTTGCAATGTGTCATTATATACTATCACTATTTCCGTTAAGGTGTGTCGTACTGTATTATGTTGTAGTGTCTATAATAGTAGGTATTAATACTATATTATAGTCTATGATACATAATTGTTGTATATATAGTATATGAATGTATGGTTAGGTTCTTTCTATATTTAAACGGATAGATACCTATTTGAATATCATAGTGGTATTAGGTACCTATAATATTGTTGCGAAACAACATTACAATATTGTAACTTCTGAATAGTGCACATTTTAATAGTAATAAATAATATATAAATACAACTGAACGTGGACTGACTGYGGATCAATGAAGTATTATTTAGATTTGAGTAGTTTGAGTCACGTTCGAAAATATACCAAGAGTTATAGTTCTGAACTGAGGTACAAAAAAATCGAGATATTAGTAAACCACTAAACTATCTCAATATGACTACGTAGATTATTATATACTAATCTACCTATTATTCGTATTAGGTATATACTAATTGTCGATTTATATATTAATATATATATAATTATTATAACTGCAGTAAATCACGTTGAATCAACCGCAAAAAATGCAGCTGCAGGTGCAATGTGCGTCGGGAAACAACAGGTAGCCCCGTGCTATACTATTATAATATTACTATTATACAGCGTAAACGATTTTCGTTTTTTATTACAAATCAATTACGGACCTTACGACGATAATGTGTTGAGGAGGGGTTCGCGTTGTCCCACTGGTGTGCCGATACGCCGGGCCACGCCCATTTCATTCATGATGTCCCACAACATCATCTTTGGCCGCCGCCGGTCCGGTTCACGGAGGCCGCCGCAACCAGTTCGAAAACCACCGTCGCGGCACACGAACTACTCCGCGCGAGCTGTCCGTCGGTGATCAAAAATACAAATAATTGTTATAAACAAGGAAACGACGACGACAAAATAACAATAATATTATTATCGTTGTCCGCGAGTTTTTCAAGTGTTTTCCGATATTGTGCAGTTTTATTTTTTTAATTTTTTTTTTCGTGTCTCAACCACGCCGAAGTTTTAAATATAATTGTTCTTTTATTCGTTTTTGCTTTGCTCGCGTCTCTTTCAGTTTGCTCTTGTACACATTATATTTTCCCGTTGTCGATTCGTTCGTTTTTGAAAACAAAATTAAAATAATAATTCTCGTTATCTTTTCTCCTATTTCGACGTCTATCCGCGATATAAAGGTACTGCAGCCTACATGATAACAGACGCTTTGGATTCCGTCGTTTCGTCCATAGCATGGAATTGTCCTCGGTGAATTGTTCGCCCCGAGATCAAATCGTTCCCGACTCTTGTAACGGCAATAATTGGGCGAACGAACAGTTGGACTTTAATTGGCAAATGCAGGTAAGTCACGAGCGCACAATACGAAATATTGTAGCTATTATTGTTGCGTTTAACCTATTATTACACGACTCAACTATTATAATATATTATGGTACAGAGGTATACGCTACTGTCGGCTGATGTTTTAYTAACAATTTCTCACTCGACGAATCGCGATTGTATTTAGATTTACGCTKAGATATGTGTATRTAGGGGCATATTAGATCGTTAAAACTGCAAGCGTGTTTCCGTTTGATTTATCTATTTAGATACCTATATCAACCGGTAAAGCGCAAATAAATGATGTTCTTAACTTAGGTTCTTATACCTACACATGGCTGTTGAATATAATGCGTCTGGACTCGTGTTACTTAAGACAATGATGTAGTTGATCACTACCTACTACCTATAGTCTATACCTACTTTTTATTTTATTTATTAATTGTTACTATGTAAAGTTCTTCTATTTCTTAATAGAACGAATTCAATATGCATAATATACGTATCGATACGTGTTTAAACTGTTTACATAATATCTATCATGTACTTCGTGATGTCAATATAATATTGATAGTTGCTACTATAGGTACTATATACTTGTTCTGGTAAAATTTCCATTTTACGAAACACATTCTTTTGGTCACGTTTTCATGATGTACCCATGTATACCTACCTACCTATACTATATAAATACTTACACCTGATATCTATAAATGGATAATTGATTATGTTAACATTAAACTGGATTTTAATAAGTTTGTAAGATCTATTTTCTAAAATCAAATTGTTTAATATGTCTTACATTCAAACATATTTTTTATATAATATGGTTTAAAATATTAACAAAATTATGTTTATTAATGTATCTTACATGTTCTTAGAAAAAACTRTTGCCGTTTGTTTATCGTTTAATAATATTTTTTACGTGATRTATATTATGTTATATAACATCCTATTTTTATGTTAGGTAGACACCTGCTATATTTTTAAATTGGTTAAATAAATWAAATAGATACTAAATAAATTTTTGTTTGAATACCAAAATATTTAATGTAGTACGATAGCGTACATAGTATATACAATATGTCCTATATACCTATTAGTAGGTTTATTATATTATTTAATATTAATAGAATATAGTTTCCACTTTTGGATGTTAATGGCCACTGTACCAAGTACCTTATCTGTTTTTGTTATTTGATCTTAAATGTAGGTACCTATAGTCTTAGTGAAAATAATATCTATTACAATAATTAAACAATAAACATATGTTTATATTATTATAATACTTATAATAATATTAAATCTTTAATTATTAAAGCTGGCGAAGTTTCAAAGTTAGAACATTTATTGAAGAACGTGATGATTAATTAAATCGTTTCATTCAAAAAAAAAAAAATAATAATAATATAATAACTTAAATTGATTACAATTAATATTCTAATCACATATTCAAATCACATATTATCAACAAAATGTTTAAACCTTACATTACTTAAACTTATAAAAAAAAAATAAAAATTATAGCTGTTATTTATTGTATAGTGTATAGTGTATACATAAGTTCCTGTCTTATTATGTATTCATGTAGCAAGGCATTGCATTTTATACGTTTATATTGGCATGTTTTTTCTTTTGAATATTTTGCTTTTGTAGCCATACATATAAATTAWAACGATTTTATTTTAAAATTATACAATGGTTAAATTATTAAAACATTCTACCAATAATTTTCAAAATTGTGTCCAATATTTTGAATGTATAAAGAAATATATTGAACCTAATTAATTTACTAGGTACTAGGTATACTCACGCGCTTATTTTATGTATAAACAATGATTTTTATTAAAATCTACATTTTATACAATTGTCTTAAAAATATTTGATACACATGAATACATTAGGGACTTATATAACATAAAAAWATATTTTATTTATTATAGAATGTTGAATGAACTATTCTAAAGTCTAAAAATGTTTTTATTAATATTAATAGTTTAGCAAATGTTAAATACAATATCCATTTTCCAATAAACATAAAAAATGATAGTAACAGCTATATAATAGTTATCATATATATATAACTATTATATAAAAAAACGTTTAATTTATTTTGTTAAAATTATGTATAATAGATACCTACATTTAAATCCGGTAAGTGTACGTTAATAGTTGTGACTTTGGTTTAATACTATATAGAGATAATACATGTAGAAAAAATAACTTCATTATACATAAAATAATATACTAATTTAGATATAATAACCTATATATGCCT